AAGGGAGGGGAGGGGAGGGGAGGGAAGGATTAGATTATCTACTTTGCTTCATTTATATAATTTTCTCTAATAGTTCCCCTTTAAAAGCACTGGCTATTACTTTTCAGGATTGTAACAGGTGGGGACCCAATATTCAAGATTTAGTGGCAAGGGAGGAAGGAGAATATACAATCTCACTGTGTGTCATGCTTCTCAATGCTTCTGTTTGTTTTTAATTGCATGAGGAAAAACATATTGTAAATGTCCATAGCTATCAATCACCAACAGACACATAAAACTGGGGTTTTTTAAAATTCTAATAATTCATATGGCAATGGGCATTTCATTGGCCTATATGCTTAGTAAAGCAGAACATGAAAAAAATCATTGCAAAAATTCACAGCTGTGGTCAGTGTTCAAACCAAAAAGAGTATCACTCATGACACTAATAGTGATTTCGCTGAAGAGTATGTTTTGCCTTTGAAGTTAAAATGATTGTATCAAAGAATACAGATTCCCCCAAAAAATCATTCATGGGTGGCTATGTGCAGTCTCTCCCTTCAATATAAAGACCTTCTTACAAAAACACCACCAATCAACCTGATTAGCAACATCACCTGTAGTAATCCAAAAGATTTTGTTGAATCTCTGCTATTACCAAGCATAATCATAACCACATTGACACGCATCTACTCTCTTACAAAGTATAACTCATGGGTATCTCTTGCTTTTCCAAAAGTCACTACCTATTTCAAAAAAATTACTCACAGAAATACACGTTTGTTCACAGGATTCACAGGACTGGACCCAAGGTCACAGCCTTATCCAAACTGTAATTTGTATCCCAGAGTTTATACCTAAATTTTAAACACTAAAGTGCTTTGTCAAACTAATGACTAGTTTTTCTCGTTATACTCATAGGAATATATTTTACTCTGATGTATGCATCTGCAACCCCAGCAAAATCAGCGGGAGGCGAACATACAACACTGAAACCAAAATTGACTGTAAAAAATGCAAGTGGAAACATAAAGCCGTCAGCAAAGAGATGAGGGCTATGTGAGAGTCAAATAACCAAAATATGTATACATAATTTTGAAACTGACCACAGTCTCCTGCTATGCATAGTGTATGCATGCTATTTTAAAGCCTACAATGAAACACTGAAAACTTAAAAAAATAAATTATATGGTTCAATTCATAAACCTTCTAAAGTCCCATGCCTCAGGCTTATTAAACCAGCTTCCTTGATGCAGCTTTTTAATATCTGTAAATACCTGCTTACTACCCAATATTGCTGTTTCCTACTAAGAGCTTTTTTATGTGTAACTCAGCTGCACATTTTTTTCCTGCCAAGAAATGATTCATAATAAACACAGAGGACTAAGTAGATGGATTCTAGAGCAAATAATTACATATTTTGCCTTTCATATACTTATTTGATGAAAGTAAAATAAACCCTTAGAAAAATTCAGATGTTTGTGGTTAAATATTTCAAGACTTATCAAAAGTCAAAGATAAACCTGGCTCCCTCATGGACCCAGAAAATGGCTGGAATAAGCTCCAGACTTTCAAATTTTTAAAAAATATATGTCTTTCACCATTGTTTCCTAGGAGGATTTTCCTCTCCATTTTGTGCCTTCGGACTCTAAGGGGAAAAAATATTTTAGGAATTCCAACCTATTTGTTATCCATGGACAAAAAGAGACAGGGAATTGGATGTCTCAGTTCATACAAGTCAGTTCAACACTGGTCTGAGGCCAATCGAAATTAGATGGAGGATGGGGTTCTAACCATCAGTATTTACAATATTTACTGTTAAAAGTTGAGAGCAAAGGCAGATGAAAATCCAGAGCCTCAGATTAAGTGATAGGTCCACAAATGAAGATACAGCCTTTTCAGAAATATTGTTTCTGATTATCTGATGCTGCAGACAGAAGCGGACGAAGTGATGCTAAAACACAAACTTTTATGTTGTTTTAAAATCTTAAACTAGCTTAACTACAGCAGTCAGTGAAGGGTTATTCAGGAGCTCTGATTTCTTTCTGCTGAAGTTAAATGCAAGATCAACTAGAAGATAAAGGCTACTATAGCAGGTCTCCAAGAATATCCTGCAAAATATTTTTAAATGGACTTTTTATTTAATTTAAATATATATTTTTAAACAAAATGCACTTTAACTGGAAATTGATGTGTGGACTAGTTAATTGTCAAATTACTTAATAAAAAGGCCTTTCTATGAACACTCTAAAAGATTTTCTACAATCATCATCACTCTGGTCTCAGCTTGTATTGGCTGGAGCTCTGTAAGAGCACTTGTTGAAAATATAGTGTGGGATTATGACTTGGTGAAGGAGACTTGCAGAATTTGCTTCTACAGACCAATCTCATTCTTGTTGATGTCAGTGGCAAAACTCCCAGTGATTTCCAGCAAAGTAGGAACAAGAACTCATTTAGAGCCCTGGGAAGCTTACAGGAATATCCTAGTGTTAATGTATTAATATCCTAGTATGTAGGAGCAGCCTACTATTAATGCCAGTACTACTTAAAGCAAAATTGTCCCTTCAAAAATAGAACATTGAGAAATAACAAGAACAGATTAGATGATAAAACAGTATGAGGAAAGAGGGGGAAAAATCAGTGCCTTGTTTAGCTGGGGGTTCTATTTATAAATAAAAAAACTCTGCACTGTGAAATTGCTGGAGCACTTAGTATTTTAATAGTCTAAAACATGCCCTTAAATTTCACATCCTGCTGTCCCTCTAATCTGTAGCTTTCTGGGGAGTTCAAGGATACAGCCTATTCATTTGCAAATCTCTGCTAAAGTGAAATACTTGTGTTTTTGCTTATTAAACTGACTTCTATAAGACCGAATCGTCTGGTTTTCCTCGACACCTCTTGCACTAAGGTTTATAGATATTTAATGTGCAATGCACATGGAATTCAGACTGTGCAGATGGCCGTGAGGGCTAAATATGACTAAAGCCTGTATGACAGTTTCAGTCCCCTCTCCTTGAACGTGACAAAGTCTATTTAGTGCACTACTGATCCCGTGGTTCTTTAATTTCACCAGATGACTGGATACTACTGAGACCTACAAGATCTGATGACTTGATGTTCCTCAAAAAGAAAGAAAAGGAAGAAACAATTTCTGAACAAAACCTGGAAGATCAGTTAGCACTTATCAAACAGCAAGCAGCACGAGACAATTATTCAGCAAGGACAGATGGGAACACTCAGTGCTTTGGAATAATTGTACTGACTAAATGAATCTATTTAAGCAGTCAGAACTGTGGTGGATCTTTTAAAAAAGTTAGGGTGAGAAAAACTTTTAATAAGACTGTCAATTCAGAGTGGAAATTATGATCATTCTCTAGGAAAGTTTATTCTAAAACAAAGCAATATTGGAAGTAATTTGAAGGTGCATTAAATGTTATGAAACAACTAATAATATGCGGTAGCAGACTCAGTTGAACAAACTGCTTGAACTAAGAATGTTCCCTGGACACATTTTTTAAAGTTGGCAGAAAAAAAAGTATCCACACAGAGTACTGACTCTCAAAATTGTTTTTTCTAAGAGAGTACAAAACCAGAGATTGCAGTTGCCTTCGGATTCAGAAGTGGTGTTTATGAGATTATATACGTGCTTTTAATATTTTTTTTTTTAAATTTTTTCTCACAACTACTATTTCTAATATCACTATTATAAACACACATGCAAAGAACTTCATAGTTTTTCATTCAAAAATATTAGTTGCCACCAAAGTTAAAGTACACATATCATCCCCACAACTCAGGCCCTTCTCTGTTTATTGGAATAGCCACAGGACATATTCCCCAGACATTTTTAGAACATCCTGCTCTCTCACCTTGATCTCCTAGTTCTTCTCTCTGCTACTAAGTTTATTTCGCTTTATTTAACTCTGACAAGTGTCTGAGCTGTAACTGGCTCTGAAGAAACACTTCTATTTCTTGCAAGCCTCATCCATGGTCCAGTGAAATTAATTAGGAGTCTGTCTACTGGACTTCGGCAGGCTTTAGGTCAGGTGCTACCAATGACTTTGTGTAATACATTTACGCAGAAAGGCATGGAAACTTGCACTCTGCAATAAATTCAGGCTATTTGCCCTTGTGCCTATCCCAAGAAGGCAAAAAATTAGAAATGTCCTTCTAAGAAAAAAAACAATAAAAAACCCTTATACTTCTTGTGCAGAACAGTAGTAAACTGAGTTTTATGAGTTCTATCACAACCATATAAAACGCTTTACTGAAAAGACCACTGAGCTGGAAAAACTCAGGAAAAACTACCCTGAATTCCATGTGAACACTCATAAATCTGCCCCCCTTTTTTTCCTAAAGCACATTTACCATAAAACTCATGTTCCACATCAGATTTCCTCTCTATTTCATAGCAAGTCTCAATATCTTACACAATCTAAAACATATAGACTTGAATTTTAAACTTTATTTCAGACGTATAGCGTTACCACACAGGCAACAGGTTTGGGTTTCAAACTCTGTGTATATCTGCAATTTGCAATATCATATTATTTATTATCCTTCTTAAAGGTAATGAGGAGTAAAATACAACGAACGAGAAAAGATGTAAAGACAGTCATGATGTGGTTGTAAGTAAAGGAATCTTGAATATTTAAGTAAGGCCATTTGTCAGTCGAAGCTTCAAATACCCCTAAAAACCAATGACATTATATACATGGCAAGACACTAGTGTTAGGTTCCAAATCCAGTATCTGTATTTAACAGATGGACAGAATAAATCACTCATACCTGAGATAAGCCAAGATGTACAGATGCTGTTTCTGAGATGTACATTATTTTGCCATCTGATGCTACCACGAAAACAAAGCCATCCAAAGTCTGGAAAAGAGAAAGATGTAGGGTAAAAAGCAAGCACTCTGTTTAAATCATTTATAGTGAAAAAAAAAATTAAAGTCGTTCAGAGGAAGATTGCTATCCAACTTCAACAGCAGCAAATAGCAGCAAAATTTAAAGAGCAGAAACCTTCATCCGATGTTGTTCCTACAAACTCCATGACACACGAACACTTTGTGAAATCCAATTCATTCCCCCTACAGATGCTAGCTTTACTACTTCACTTCAAGTTAACATTCTCCTGTTGATTCTGGTTATTTTAGCACTTAGTACAAATCCTGAGCTATGTGGTACTTAAGGGAAAGTCTAGTAATATGCAAGCCATTTTTTATGGCATAATTGGCAGACACAGCTTACTGCTATTTGCAATATATTTAATGATACCGTAAGCAACGCTTTAAAGTTCTTTGACTATATTTTAAATAATGTCTTTCTGAAGAGAGGACTGTCTGCTGTGTAACTATGCAAACTTAGAAAAAGAAAGTAAACTAAAACAGCATTCAAAACTTTATCACACTCGAAGAGAGATATTTATGCTCATTAAGCTGTATCCCTACAGTGTGTGAATCTCAACTAACAGTAATTCACAATGCAAACTTCAGATCCAATCCTACACATTCATATTGACGGGATATTGACTGGAAGGGAAATATCACTTGTGTGGGTAAAAACTGAAGAATAATTTAGTCATATGCAATTCATACAAGAAAAAAAAAAAATATGCTGCAAATGGTACAGGTTAGCCCAAACTGGCCAGGATTTGGACACACAAACTATTGGTTTGGGGGTACCTTGATTATTCAGTGTCCAACCTGAGGCATTTTTTAAAAAAGTATCTGATATATTCAGTCTAAAAGTATCCATTATGTCTAACCAATTTAGGAAGCTTCTATCGACACATACATCATTGGACACATCATTGGAAAATATATTTGGAAGAGAAAAATAGTTTTTACAGTACACAGATAAAACAAACGCCTCTTTTAATTCATCTTTGGGGTTACTGAACCAAGAGAGAAGCAATAAACCCTGTATGCTTCATGTTCTTATAGTGCTGCCCCAACAAGAAAATATTCCAAATTATTCTCTGGCCTACTAACGATTCTACAGCATGTAATTGAAACCAGATTACTCTTTGCTTTTGCTTTTTTTTCCTTTTTTGGAACATAAATCAAATTTTGTAGAAGTATTATAATGGGAAATAAATTATTGCACCCTTAGCCATAACTTTGCTTTAAATAAAGTCGTCTTGCAATTGCTCGACATAGTATCAGAACTAAAACCGTGTCAGTGCTTCCATTACTGCATTATATGGTGCAGTAGGTCTCTAATTTTCCTACACAGAAAAGCATAACTGAAGCTGAAACTTCCCATGTACAGTTTCAGTCTGAGAACCCTTAAAAAAGAGTTTACAGTAAATGTGGGTTTATGAAAATGTTAAGCACTCCTAATTCAGAAATAACTGAACTGTAAAATGAGTACTACAGGTGATTAGCATATAATGTTACTCGAGTTCATTTAACGCCAGGCAAAATGCGAAATAGCTAACAGGGAGGAGGAGCAAGTGTAACAACAATGGGGTTTGTGATATAACTGGGTAACTATTTTCTAGGTAGATCAGTGATTCCGAAACAGCTGATAGGACATCACCTACTACGAACAAAATTTTCAAGAAACGCCTCCACACGGGGTAGTTTTGAACTTTATCGATTTCCATTTCCTGCGGGCGGTCGGTAACGCCTGCTCCAAACCAAAGCGCGCTCTCCTTCTCACTCCGGGGCGGCGGGTGGCCCTTCGCAGGGCCTCGGGGGGAGCAGGGGCGCCACC